GAGAGAGAGAGAGAGAGAGAGAGAGAGAGAGAGAGAGAGAGAGAGAGAGAGAGAGAGAGAGAGAGATCTTCCAACTTCTTATATAACTTAATCATTACATTCACCGTCTCGCGCACTCCATACTGAAACAGCATAATCTGATACACAAACTGCTGTTTTTTTTTCGATCGACACAATCTATATATAATTTGTTCAATCCACGCTTCCATTTCCATGTCAAAAACTCGAAGCGTACTCGAATATCACGCCTCTCACTCATCGTTTCACACTCTAAAATCCCGTCCTCACCAGTGATGTAACATACGCACACACACATACACACACACACACACACACACACACACACACACACACACACACACACACACACATACACACACATGCAATTGTGAATGCAGGCAGACACCCACGTACACCCGTGCACTATTAGTCCTACTTTACTTTCTTCTCCCTTGCTCTTTTTGAACGTCGCATTGTGCATTCCTCTTTTTCCTTGCCTGCTTTTTTTTTTCTACCGCATATTCCCTCACTCGTTTCGCTCAAATCACGCTCTCTTTCTTGAGACTCCTCTCTTGACTCTTTCGCTTCTTCCTTGTCAGCTGTTTCTTCGTTCTCACCTTAGTGGTCCACCAAGTTGATCACACTCTAACTCTTGTCCGCCTCCTCTTCATTCTCCTTTTCCTCCTCCTCCTCCCTGTTTGTCGTGCTTAGAAGTTTTTCATGCTCTGCTGCACTGACACCCTCCACATCACCTCCCCTTTCTCCCATTGTTGACTCCGTAACTATTTGCTTTCCTGGACCAGTGCATTCCATAAACACTTGTCCTTCCCCCCCTTCTTTCTCATTTGCACTTTGCTCCCTGGTGGCTTCGTCGGTGCCTTGCGTCTGTGTAGTGATGACAGTCATATGGTGTGTTCCATACGATTGCTTGAAATGTCAATCGACATTCCCTACCACCCCCTTCACTCCCTTATGTGCCTCGATTTTTGGCCCTTCTTCGTCTGATGCTTTTTTTTGCTGGTCCTCTTCAATTTTTTCGTCCTTCGCTTTATCGCCATGCACGTGTGCAACAACTTCCCCGCCTTCTGTTGGTGTTGTCTCACTTCTGGCTCCTACTGCACTGATGCCTTCTGATGGTCTAGGTGTTGGTTGCGGTGTACTCGATGGCCGGTCAGCGACCTCATCTCCCATTGTGTTTTGCATCCTGAATTGTCCTTCCTTGTTTGCCACACTCTCGCCACCACCTCTTGCTGCTGCTGACTCGTTCTTCTTTCTTGCACCCATGTGTCCCTCAAGGCTTTGACTGCACCCCACAAGTATGCCGCTGTCGTACATGCAGTCCGTTGAGCGGTAGTCCAGACACCATATGACAGCTCCATATGACGGACTCGATTTCTTGTCGTAGAACGCAGCGCAACACTCGAGAAGGTGATTTTCACGAAGGAATTCGAACAATGAGTTCACTTTCTCTGATATTTTGTCGTCTGGCGCATCTTTGTTTGTCTGCCTCACACGGGTATACAAGTTGTCCTTTGCGATTTCATAAAACCTTCTCCTCTGGACTCTTTTCTTGAACACCCATTTCCCACCCATTCGGATAGCCATGTGCCATCTGCCATTAATCACACAAGGCTCGAAAAGACCCGAATGATATATGATGTGATGCCCCCACTCGTGTTCATATGACTTTGTGTACTTCGTTTCTAGAAAGTGAGGTCCTCCTTTCATCTCCTTCATGTCATATGATATATTATCACCCGGTGCAAGCTGTTTGGGGGCGTCGTCCGGGATGTGAAAGAGGGGATCATCCTCTATGTCCATCCCATCAGGGCCGTGCACTGATTCTTTGCCTGCGTGAGCAACATTTTTATTCTCGTCGTCCGCTGCTCCTTCTATGTCATTGCGAACTCTCCTCACCAGCGAAACGAATCCTGGGGTGACTTCTTTCATACCGCACTTGTTTGTGATGCCTTCCTTCGCACCACCTGTGTTCGGCTGTGGTCCACTCATCACGTTTTTGGTCCCGGTACTCGCAGTAGCGCCGGGAACATCTTCCTCCATCGCTTGTCGACCACCCAAAGCGGACACCGGAGGCGTTTCCTCTCTCACTGCAGTGTGATGTGCATCTGGCAATGGCAGGTCAATCTCCTCGTCCTCTGTTTCCTCCTCACTGTCCATGATGTCAAACTGCTCCGCAACGTCCATTACCTCGCAGTAAACCTTGACATCAATTTTGTCTCACTTCCTTTCAAACCATATGTGTTCACATCGACCCATAAATATCTTTATCGCACCGCGTTTGGCATTATGGTATCCTTGCAGGTGATGGATCGCTATCACCTTACGGTGCAGATAATCTGCATCTGTTGGTGTTGTTGGTGCATTGCAGAACAGATAGCTCCACAAAGAGTTCCTCTTCTTGCCGAGCTTGAGGAACATGTCTCGGTCTGCCCGATGTCGAGGTTTCGGTCGTTCAAAGTGACACCTGCTATCCGGATTGTGGACGTGACGATCGATAAACAAGGTGGAGTACTCCATCAGGTTTGAGGAACCATCGCATGCGACGACATGGCGTCCTGAGCAAAGCAAGTCCCATGTTGTTCCCGGCTGCACGTTGCCCAGTAACAGGACACCTTCCCCTTCCTTTGAAAACCAGGTGCACAAGTCTTTCATCTTTGCAGGTTCCCTCTCCCATATCCCGAACACAGGTTTGCTATCGCTTCGCACGCCAATTGCCTCTTTTGTACATCGTACAAATAACTCCTCCACGTAATGCTTGTCGAAGAGAATGTTTCCACGAGGCTTTGCGACAGTGACATTTTTGAAGTCGTTGTCTGTATTATGCAGCACAATGGTCATGGAGTCGCGCCCTCTCAACGGAAGGTTCCCAACTTGCGCGCAGGATGATGCTGCTTCGCTATAACGACGCCAGCGCCCTGGAAGAACTCTCACACCAAGTGCGTTAAATACGATCAGCGCCCAATGCGACCCGCACAACATTGTCATCATTTGGCGGAGCTCCTGAAACCTTTGCTCGTTCCATGCGTCGAGATTCTTCAACGGAGCCAAGTCCAATACTGCAAGGTGACAGCTCAACTTTCTCACGGCACGAGTGAAATCTTCTGCCGGGTGCAATGCGTCCATTGGTGTGATGCAGACAGGGAGGTACGTCGTGTGATCTTTTCGCTTGTCGCACATTATGTGTTGAGCATTCGAGCTGATGCGCTTGAGCTCGTCCCTCAACTGATGAACTGCGCCAAGAATCTCGTGCACGAAAAGCTTGAGGAAGTATGGACACTCCATATATATTGCAGTCGTCACCTTGTGCCCCCCGACATTCCCTTTTCCCAGTTTCGCCTCATCCACGCCGCCCAATCGTTTTGGGACATTGATAGTCTTCTCTGCTACGATCTTGGACTTGGTTTCTTCCCATTTCTCCGCTGTCAACCCTCGTGGTGCAAACCGCCTCATTATGTCGTCCTAGCCAATGAAGAACTTGTCATTCCACTCCTCCTCCGACCTCTGCTTTATCTTGAAGAGGACATAGTTAAACATCCAAACCATATATCTCTCCCTTCTCACCTCGACGTACAGGTCTTGCATGTTCATCCATTTTTTCACAAATGCCCTTCCGCTCGTGACGACGACGTGTCCCGCAAGTATTTTGTCGAGGGTCATCTCCTTCTCCCTTGGTGTGAAATCGCCGAACACCTTCCATGCGCTCGCAGGGGGGTCATTGATGCAAACATAGAAACCCGGCGAGCTTTTGTTGGACTGGACGTAGTGCACCAACACTTTTTTGCCTTTCACCGTCTTCGCTGCAGGGCCCGGTCCTGTTGCCTCGCCTGCTTTCCCTTCTTGATCCACTGGTCTCACGCCGTCCTGTCCTGGCAGTTCACCTTTTTTCCATTTGTCGAAGAACTTCTCAACCAGATTCCGCACAACCCTGCCACTCGCCACAAGACACATGTAGGGCCTCAAAAGGTTTCACCAATTCCTCACAAATCTTTTCGCCAATGACTGGTTCCAGAGCGATGTGTCAGGAGTCATCCGTATAGCTTTCCGCACGAACTCCTGATACTGCTCACGCTGTGCAGTCCTTTCTTCGAACGTCTTTGTCTGATGCCAATCACCTTTTGGCTCGTTCATATTTTGTCGCAGTCCTCTTATAGCAGTCACGACATTCGAAACGTCGACGGGATAACACGTGTCTCCCTGGTGTTGTCAAACGTGGAGATGTACACATACCCCTGTAAATGGTCGTCGTCAAAATAGACAACCCTCGCCTTCCAAGAATGCACGCCCTACTTGTGGGCAGTTAACAATTTTGCAGCGACCAGCCTCTTCGCTGCCTCCGCTGTATGTTGGCCGGTCACTGTGTACCAATGGTATGATGCAACCTTGCCATCGTCCCACTCCTCTGGCTTCACACGTTCCCACTGTTTCCGGCCACCCTTCTCCACTTCAACGACAGGAGCAAGAATCCACGTGTTTCTGTTCCACTCCTTCCCTTTTTCCGGGTGTTCGATTGCGTCCTTGATCGAGGTGACCAACATCTCGTTCAACGGCCTGTGGTTGTATTGCACGGCTTCCGCAGGGTTGGGCAGTATTTTGACCACGTCAACGAAAACTTGGGTGGGCCGATCTATCGCATTGCCCTCCTCGTCGTATTCCAGGAAAAACATTTCGTGGTGTCGATAGTGTCATTGGTCAACTCTCCAGGCTTTGAGGCTGTATGTCTCAGGTCGACCCCCACCGCTTCGTCCCCAGAGTCGGCCACTTCCTTTGTCTCCTCGGCCTTTGCTTTCTTATTTGGTCGCTGGGAAGATCGAGTGCGTTCACGCTTTTCCTTCGACGGTCTTGTGGATTGGGCCTCCAAGGATCTTTTGTAAGCCTCCTTTGAGGCCTGCAGGCTAATGAGCTTAGCTTGTCTCCGCTTTTCTTCCTCTACTTTCCCAGCTCTTATTTTTCCATTGTGCTTGCACACAGACCTGTGTGTGGCAAGCAACACATCGTCATCTTCTGCCGGACCATCATGACTTGTGGCTCGGAAAGACTCTTCCCACCTTTCCTGCGTCCCTTTATCCCCGCCGTCATCATCGTCCGCCCCACCCTCATCTCCTTCGCTCCCCCCTTCGTAATTGTCTTCCCGTTCTTTCGCATCCTCGTCGCTTGCATCCTCAATTTCTTCTTCTCCACTCCCATCGCCTTCATGACCACCATCCTCTTGGCCTTCACTACCATCGCCTTCAGGCCATCCTTCGTCCAAGCTTCCCTCCTCAGCGTGTGCACTGTCGCGGAACCGTTGTTCGTTGTCGTCCTCATCCGTGTCTTTCGCGTCGTTGTCCTCGGGCCACCGCTCACCGTCCCACTGCCTGGAGCCTGAGTCCTCCTCTGTCTTTCCGCCGTCATCCTCATGGCCAGTGGCCTCACCAGCCGGAGTGAAAGAAAAGCGTGCCGCATATTCTGCATGTGATGGTGCCGGCGTCGCAGACACACCCTTCGGCCGGAGTAGAGAAGATGATTTGCTCACGCTCTTTGCCTGTGTCGATGCGGCCCCACTTTTGTTCATACGGGCGGATATTTTCGGCTCCCCACAACTCTTTCCTACCGCCTTTGGCAAGCTCACAGAGACGGTGGTTCGCAAAACCGATTGGCCCATCTCCTACAGCTTGTGACGTCGCACCATGTCCGTGAAGTCTTCAAGATCACAATCGAACGGCACGAAGGGAGTGGACAACTGCAGCTTGTTGTCAATCGCCACGACATGGTTCGACACCTTATAGCAATTAATGCGTTTAAGGAACTCAAACGGCCTCAGCATCACCATCTGCGACGCATCCTTCTTCTTCCACTTGTCGAAGGGCGACATTGATGCAGCGCGGATGTCGTAACCTTGGAACTTGTCGACTTGGAGAGACACGAGCTTGTAGTTGTCATGCACCTTGTGACCGTCGCTGTCGAAACACGTAGTCAAATGGAATCTCATGTACTCCTCGTCAGGCATGTTCTTATCGAACGAGTAAGACTTGATACCCCCGCATGGGTAGTAACCGCCGCTCTCATCCCGCAAGAAAATGCATGGCCCGCATCAGGGGACTTTCATACCGAGGTGCCAGTCGATCGCCCAGTACTTGTCTTGGAACGTGACCGCCCTTCCAACAACCTTCGGCGTAGAGACCCCCGACGAGAAAGCAAGTGCATAACACCGAATCCGGCACAGGCGTAACACACAGAACAAACACACGTTAAGAAGAAGGGTCAGTGGAAGGCCTCCAGAACCGGTGACAAGAGCAAGCTGCCAACTTTACGCAGTACGGGAATAGGTAACCGACGTTAGGACTGGGTGGTGCGTTGTCGGCCATCACTCAAAGCACTTGCTCACACTAACGAACGTTCGGATTGGCAGCAGGTAAACAGGGAACCACTTTCGTCCACTATGGCATTCCTCCCACCGCAACGGGGAAGGAGCATTTCCCATCGCGCCCATGGTCAGTGCTAAGGGCAAGTATGTAACAGCTGCAACAGCTATAGTCGCGAAGCAGCTGCAACAACAGTTGACACTTAAGCAGCAGCTGCAACCGCAGCAGCCACAGCAACAGTTACTGGGAGCAACAACATGAGCTACTGCGACGGACGCCTCGACGGTTCGGCACATCAAAGACGTCGGACCATCGAATGGTCTGGCGCCTTGACGACGCCGGACCATCCGAGGGAAGAGAGGGTCCCAGCAGGCAGGAACACCAACAACCAGAGGAACAACGGAACGGGCAGCATCACGAGCTGCCACAACAACAGTGGGACGGGCAGCTACAGCAACGGTGGGACGGGCCACACAACGGGGGGAAGAGAGGGGCCCAGCATGCCCCGCACACCAGCAAAAGGCCCAGCATGGCCCGCTACAGCACAGCACAATGACAAACTTCCAGCTAAAGCAAAATAAACAAAAACGAAACAAAGACAGGCCTCCTCCGTATGACATGCAAGATCCGTATCCAAATACTCAGGGAAGAGCCGATACCTATCATCATTCAAGAAAAACACACAAGAAACAGAAACCTACATACTTAGGAATTCGATTGTCCACTTCTTGATATGTTTCTTACGGAACACCAATAGCCACATCGACTCTGGGACGGGCAGCATCACGAGCTGGCAACGCAACAGCGGGACGGGCAGCTGCAACAACAGTGGGACGGGCAGCACCACGGAGGGAAGAGAGGGGCCCAGCAGCAAGTACCGATAGCAACCACAGCAACAGCGGGACGGGCATCATCAAGAGCTGCTGTCGCGGACCCTCCGATGGTCCGGCGCCATAACGACGCCGGACCATTGGATGGTCAGGCGCCTTGATGGCGCCGGAACATCGGAGGGAAGAGTCGTCCCCAGCAGACAGGAAGACCTGCAGCCACAGCAAGCGCGGGACGGGCAGCAGCACGAGCTGCTACAGCAACACGGTGACGGGCAGCACCATGGAGGGAAGAGAGCGGCCCAGCAGCGAGTACCGATAGCAACCACAGCAACAGGGGGACAGACAGCACCACGAAGGGAAGAGAGCGGCCCAGCAGCGAGTACCGATAGCAACCACATGAGCGGCGCCATGACGACGCCGGACCATCGGATGGTCCGGCGCCATGACGACGCCGGACCATCGGATGGTCTGGCGCCTTGACGGCATCGGACCATCGGAGGGAAGAGTCGTCCCCAGCGGACAGGAAGACCTGCAGCCACAGCAACTGCGGAACGGGCAGCAGCACGAGCTGCTACAGCAACAGGGGGACGGGCAGCACCACGGAGGGAAGAGAGCGGCCCAACAGCGAGTACCGATAGCAACCACAGCAACAATGGGACGGTCATCATGATGAAATGCTGTCACGGACCCTCCTATGGTCTGGCGCCATGACGACGCCGGACCATCGGATGGTCTGGCGCGTTGACGGCGCCGGACCATCGGAGGGAAGAGTCGTCCCCAGCAGACAGGAAGACCTGCAGCCACAGCAACCGCGGGACGGGCAGCAGCACGAGTTGCTACACCAACAGGGGGACGGGCAGCACCACGGAGGGAAGAGAGCAGCCCAGCAGCGAGTACCGATAGCAACCACAGCAACAGCGGGACGGTCATCATGATGAACTGCTGTCACGGACCGTCCTATGGTCCGGCGCCATGACGATGCCGGACCATCGAAAGGTCTGGCGCCTTGATGGCGCCGGACCATCGGAGCGAAGAGTCGTCCCCAGCAGACAGGAAGACCTGCAGCCACAGCAACCGCGGGACAGGCAGCAGCACGGGTTGCTACAGCAACAGGGGGACGGGCAGCACCACGGAGGGAAGAGAGCGGCACAGCAGCGAGTACCGATAGCAACCACAGCAACAGCGGGACGGTCATCATGATGAACTGCTGTCGCGGACCCTCCTATGGTCTGGCGCCATGACGACGCCGGACCATCGGATGGTCTGGCGCCTTGACGGCGCCAGACCATCGGAGGGAAGAGTCGTCCCCAGCAGACAGGAAAACTTGCAGCCACAGCAACCGCGGGACGGGCAGCAGCACGAGCTGCTACAGCAACAGGGGGACGGGCAGCAGCACGACTTGCTACAGCTTCAACGGGATGGGCAGATACAGCAACAGCAGGACGGGCAACAGAACAGAGGGAAGAGAGGGGCCCAGCAGGCAGGAACACCAGCAGGCACAGCAACAGCGGAACGGGCAGCATCACGAGGTGCTACAGCAACAGTGGGACGGGCAGCTACAGCCACGGTGGGACCACAGGGACGGACAACACAACGGGGGGAAGAGAGGGGCCCGGCATGGCCCGCATCGGACGGTCAGGCGCCTTGCCGACGGAAAGCTACAGCAACAGTGGGACGGGCAGCTACAGCAACAGTGGGACGGGCAACAGAACTAAGGGAAGAGAGGGGCCCAGCAGCTCGGATGGTCTGGCGCCTTGACGGCGCTGGACCATCGGATGGTCTGGCGCCTTGACGACGGCGGACCATCGGATGGTCTGGCACCTTGACGACGTCGGACCATCGACGGGAAGAGAGGGGCGCAGCAGCCACGAACACCAGCAGCCACAGCAACAGTGGGACGGGAAACATCATGAGCTGCTGCAGCAACAGTGGGACCGGCAGCTGCAGAAACAGTGGGACAGGCAACAGAACTAAGGGAAGAGAGGCGCCCATCAGCCCGGATGGTCTGGTGCCTTAGCGACGCCGGACCATCAGCGGGAAGAGAGGGGCCCAGCAGCCAGAAACACCAGCCGCCACAACAACAGCGGGACGGGCAGCATCATGCGCTGCAGCATCAACAGTGGGACAGGCAGCTTCAGCAACAGTGGGACGGGCAACAGAACTGAGGGAAGAGAGGGGCCCAGCAGCTCGGATGGTCTGGCGCCTTGACAACGCCGGACCATCGGATGGTCTGGCACCTTGACGACGCCGGACCATCGGATGATCTGGCGCCTTGACGACGCCGGACCATCGGATGGTCTGGCGCCTTGACGACGCCGGACCATCGACGGGAAGAGAGGGGCCCAGCAGCCACAAACACCAGCAGCCACAGCAACAACGGGACGGGAAACATCATGAGCTGCTGCAGCAACAGTGCGACGGGCAGCTGCAGCAACGGTGGGACGGGCAGCTTCAGCACAGTGGGACGGGCAGCTGCAGCAACAGTGGGACGGGCAGCTTCAGCACAGTGGGACGCGCAGCAGAACTAAGGGAAGAGAGGGGCCCAGCAGTTCGGATGGTCTGGCGCCTTGACGAGGCCGGACCATCGACGGGAAGAGAGGGGCCCAGCAGCCACGAACACCAGCAGCCACAGCAACAACGGGACGGGAAACATCATGAGCTGCTGCAGCAACAGTGCGACGGGCAGCTTCAGCAACAGTGGGA